TTTCTGAGCAGCATCCATTCACGGAGCCATGTCATTGCCGCGGCTTGATAGTATAGACGCCAAATCGGTACCGCCAATCCTCCCTTCTTTACTGTCCCCTGTAGATAATAGGTCTTTATTCTAGGTTTCTTCCCCCCCCAGATAAAATCTGATGTTAATTTCTCTAGGCTTTGGGTAAATTTATAGTTATTAAGAACAGGGATATTTTGGAATAAGAATAGTACCCTGGGTAATATGACCATTTTGATCGTCGCAACTCTTCCCATTAAAGAAAGTTGTAACTTGGACCAATTTTCTAAATCCTTTTTAATTTGAATCAAAAGACCATCATAGTTGCCTTGTACCAGTGTACTTGTTCTGTTTGTAATGTTTATCCCTAAATATTTGACTCTTTTCTCTATACTGAAATCTGTTATCCCTTGCAGCTTTCTTTCTAGGGTTGGATCACAATTTTTTGTTAGTATTTTTGTCTTTGTTTTGTTTATTTTCAGCCCCGAAAAGTACCCAAATTCATGCATCACTTCTAAGACAGGTGGTGTTGATTGCAGTGGATCTAGAAGAATAATGGCGATGTCATCCGCATAGGCTTGGATTTTATACTCTTGGTTTCTTACTTTAATCCCCTGTATTCGTTCATCTTTACGGATATTCTCACATAGACCTTCCATTGTTAAGATGAATAAGAGCGGCGAGAGAGGACATCCTTGTCGCGTGCCCTTGAAAATATTTATTTCAGGAGTCAAATCTGAGTTAATTATAATCCTTGCTTCTTGTTTTCTGTATAGTGTTTCTATTATATTGATAAAATCCAAGCCACAATCTATTTCTTTTAAATTTTGAATCATATAATCCCAATTAACATTATCAAACGCCTTTTCGGCGTCGATAAATATTATTGCCAGCTGTCTACTTATGTCCGTCTCTCAGAAGACTGCTGCTCTTGATGATTTGGCGGCAGAACGACCGGTCTTTCTCCACCTTGGCACTGGGGAAAAAGATGTGATCTTGGGAAATGTCCAAGATCACCCCTAGGTGTTGTATTGATTGAGGATCAGAGGACTCTTCTGAAAGTTCACCAGAAAGCCGAGATTCTGTAAACATTCTGTAGTCCAAGATGGCCCTCTAGCTTCCGTTATTTTTGTAACGGCAAAAAATATCGAGTAAATACCTTGATCTCTCTCGGTAAAGGGAACCGGTTCTATGACCAGGACGCTGGATAGATGATGAATAGCAACCAGAGTTCTTGTAGTTTGACAGAGCCCTTTATTATTGGTGAGAGGACGAGGCAGTCTGGGGTTCTGCTAAGGAATCCAATGGAAGAACCTTCGGAAGTGACGTCCCGAGACCAGTTGTCTGCATTCAACTTGACCCATTCCTGGTGAAATAACAATAGGCGTCCCCCACCGGCACCAAGGCATAGTCATGCCTTGATGTCTCTTCCTGATTTGTCATCCATAGGGGAGAAAGGTATGTCTGGACTGTTGTGAAAGGGATTTCTCCTGATGTTTGTCTGGATGTTCCCCATGAAGGTCATCTAACATCTCGACTGAACCTGTTAAAGGGGCTTTGGCCACAACAGGAGAGACTGCCTGTGCTTCTTCTGTCTAGTTACAAAGAAAGCTTTCACATCATCTACTGCCAGGTTCTTTAACTGGAGATGCAAGAGACCGAATGTGGGACTTTCTGCCTGCCAAGCAGATGCTCTACCGCTGAGCTATGTCCCATCCTTCATCTACCCAGTGACTTTGGTATTGCCTTCTTCTTAACCTCTGTTTTGATGGGGATCTTGACAAAGGAATCTCCAAATAGGCGACTGCCCTGAAAGGAATACACAGTGACGGCCATGGCATGTAGATTGACCTGCCACCCCTGGAGCCAAAAGGCTCCTCTGGCAGCTACAGTTGAAGCCATTGCCCTAGAAGAAAAAAGCATGGTGTCCAATGTGGAGTCAGTCAGCGAGGATGAGGCCTGCAGAAGCCTATTTGCTTCCTCTGCCAAGCGTCTGTTGGAGTTGGCAATCAGCTGGACAAGCGTCTTAGACCAGGCTATGGATGCTCTTGTTACCGTGGTGCCGGTGGCTGAAACTCTGACTGCCATGGCTGTGGCCTCGTGGCCTTGCGCAGCGCAAATTCTGCTATTCTATCTAGTCAATCTCTTACCGTTCCCTCTCCCTCTTCAGAGAGGAGACCAGCAGTTTGGAGTGCTGTTATCGATACATTCACTAGGGGGACCTGTAAGAACTTACAGTAAAGTTATGCAAGACATACAGTTTCTTAATATTAGGAGGGTAATGTTTGTTAGCTATAGCATTCCTTAGCCAACTGTTTTCTAAGAGTTCAGAGAAAGGGAAAAAACTTTCTCCATCCCAGGGGTTCCAGGGAAAAGCCTTAGCTCCCTCTGGGACTAGACCCATTTGCAGGGTCATTTCTGGAGGAGTCTTCTGCCCTAGGCTTGGGGTGAAGTCCCAAAGGCAGACAAGGTCTTTTAAGGTTTGAAAAATCTCACAGAGGGTTCTGAAACCTCCATCTCCTCTCCTTCCTCCTTCTCTGATAGAAGCCCCCTTTTCTCCCTATCCTCCATTCACTGTCCTCAACCTGTGAAAGATCCCACAGAGAACAGCCCTGATATAAGAAAAATGATATTTTCTAGCTGCCATGGTTGGCCAGTGAGGCCTTCCCTCCTCCGGGTAAGGTCGGTCCGGTTCTCCCTGGAGGTAGCGACTGAAAGGGCTATGAGAGGGGAAATGGCTACCATCCCCTACTGGGGAATACCTGTGAAAATTAGAAGTTTCTTCCCTCATGGCTTGCATTACACTGGCATTAAAATCCCGTTCTCGCCCCTTTCGGGGTTACTCACGAGTAGACCCATAGGTAATGCCGCATCGTCAGAAGGCGTTGCCGTAATGCCCTGGGTGTTGGGACTGTCCAGGATGCCATCACTAGGCATAGATTGGCTTATGGTAGCAGCGACAGCTGCCCCGCAGCCCCGTTTCCTCAAGGGGTCTCCGCTTTGCCGCCTGATCCAAGATGGCGCCTGTGGCGTGCTCCACAGGCGGAGAATGGGACCACTTTTTGGCGCGCTCTCCTTGTGTTGCAGTGAGACCCGCGGCGGAGGTAGAGGCCGCAGCTTTAAATTTACCCATTTGGGTTGTGCTGGCGGCAGAGCATCTTCCCTCTCGATTTCTGAGAGGAATCTGTCCAAGTCTCCTTGGTCTGACATGCTCCAGGCTGGAGTGTCAGGCGGGAGTTCAGGCAAGGAAAGAAAAGAGGTGGGATGCAGAAGAGGACAAGCAGGGGAGGAAGTGCAGAGAAGGAGGAACATCTACAGAGTTAAAGCTAAAATCAGAAAGCCAGTAGAAACAGAAAGTAGTCAAAAAGGCATGAGTGCCAACTTCGTGCTGCTCTCCCTTCTGAGGCAGGAACAGAAACTGAATTGAGGGCCATGTCCCACCAAGAGGACAGGAAGTAAAGTTTTGGTTCCTGCCTCCCTAAGGATAGGGTGGGATACACCCCATCAAGATGTCCTCCTCTCAGAGGGAAAAAGCATGGTTTTTAGCATATTTCAACAGCAAGTCTTTCAACTCACATTTTGGGGGCGAAGAAGGATAATCATCCTTGAATAGCATCTGTAATTTAAATAAACCTCCTTCCCATGGTGTCTGTTAGGAAAGGATAGAACACAGTTACTAGTGGTTGAATAGCATTTCATTAGCCAGGACTGATTAGAGATAAAGCCCAACTAGACCAGAGAGGAGCCTCGTACATAAAAGCACACAGAGAAGAACTGTGGACATATTACCGAAGTAGCTATAGCAAAGAATTCCAAACCCCGTTTTAGAAGTTAGGCCAGGGCAAGAGGCTAACTTGATAGACTCACTGGTACGCTAAGGTTTCATCTAAGAATAGAAACCTATTCTGCTACTCTTATTTATTCATTTGATTTGAATAAATAAGCGGGCTAAGAGCAAGTCACACATTTCATTAAACATTTCATTAAGTAGACATAAGCATTAAAACATAAGATATAAAATATAAAACCAAATTTAAAACCAATTGTTCAAGGCATTTCATAGAGCCACCTGCACAATGCTAACATAGGTGGTCGTTGATAGCAACCAGCCTTCCAACGATGCTCTATTGGCCTCTATTGGGCAGGGCAAATTGTAACAGGCACTGTAAGTACTGCAAGCAGAGAAGGCTGAGATGGCTGGATGCCCGCTGCCTCAACCAAAGGCCTGGCGGGACAGCTTTGTTTTACAGGCCCTGCGGAACTGTAGTTAGTCCCACAGGGCTCTGCTTTCACATGGGAGCATGTTCCTCCAGGCTGAAGCTAAGTGAACATCTTTTGGGCTGGGGACTGCCAGGAGATGTTGCTCTGCAGAGCATAAGGCTCTCCTGATGTAATTCACATCACGTGTTGCCAACACACTCGTACCCATTAGAAGCAGAAGCACCTCTACAAAAATGCTGAAACCCATCTTCAGGCCAGCAGGGATCCCCATCCAATTTGGCCCCACAGCCCTGGCCGAGCCTGAGGAGGCCAACAGCTCATCCAAGATGGATATTAACGTTTCCAGAATGGACAACGGACCTTTCAGCTCCATTTGGGACCTACATTCCCAAGTTGCTGAGAAATCAGGAATACTGCAAAAAGAAGACAACCAGATCAGCACAGCCGTTTCAGTCTTAGAAGTTAACTGAATATCTGTGGTGCCAATCTTGATGCAACAGAATGCCGTACATGTGGAGCCAAACAGTGATCGAACGCTGAATACATTCCAAGCCAGAACGGCAGTGTCGCACTTACCCCTTTCTTCCCTGGAATAGCACATTCCCAGTTCATGAGATTCATCGTGCCATCTAGATTCTTTGTTGGTACAGCTACGAAACCCTGAAACAAGAAGGATGTGAGCAGCACAAGAGGTGGAATTACAACACACACAGAAGTGGAGAGAATAGCATTACTGTCAAGGTACTCATACACAACACACAGCAGATCTACGCTCTAGAAATAGCTTTAGCAACACACTTCAGATTTAGCAGAACGAAATGTTCAGGGCACGAGAGCAGGCTTAGGCTGGATGCCCCCCTCGAATGCCATGTCTTCCCCGGACACCACATTCCAGCCACAGCCCTGCTGGCCCTGTAGGGCAGCCGGGCAGCAGCCACCTTTGTTCTGCCTCCCCCTTTTGTTGCCAGAGCAGGGCCCGGGGCCCTTGGAAGCTTTCTCCTCCTCCCCCCGCCTGCCCGCCGCCCAGACTCACGAACGGGTGGTCCTTCCTCCAGGCCTTCCTCTCCTGGGCAAGGCGGCTGAGGGCGATGCCAGACATGGTTCCGGTTCTCCTTCTGCAACACACGAGAGGGAAGGGGAACACCTCCCCCAGCCCACAGGCATCAGAGCAGGGGCCAGGCGGCCGAGGAGGAGGAGGGGGGAGCAGGAGAAGGGGCCACTGGGCACCCCCACCAGCCCTCGCACTCCACCACCTCCTGTGCATGCCTGGCAGCCAGCCAAGGAGAAGCAACCCCCCCCCCGAGAGAGAGGGGCTATGCAGTGGCAGCTAAGGTAGAAAAGCACCTCCTCCTGTGCCATGTTTTCTGGGTTCCAAGGGTCTGGAAAGTGGTTTCACAGCCAATAACATAGTTGCCAACTCTGGGTTGGGAAATACCTATAGATTTGAGGGGTAGAGCTTGGGAAGGGCAGGGTTTGTGGTGGGGAGGGACTTTAGCAGGGTATAATGCCATAAAGTCCACTGCCCAAAGTAGCCATTGTCTCCTGAAGAACTGATCTTGGTCATCTGAAGATCAGTTGTAATAGCTGGGAAAATTTCTGTAGGGGAAAAGATTTGCTGTGGCTGGGGAACACGGTGATTTCCGGGTGATCTCCAGACCCCACAGGGAGACTGGCAATTTTACCTCAGGACACGTTCAGTGACTCCCAACTGCAACAGCAAACTGTTTAGAATGTTAGAGGCAAAGGCCAATCAGGCCACATATGCAAATGACCTCTGTGTTCCGACTGGCTATGGGGGAAGAGGAACAGCAAACTATTTAGAATGTTGGAGGCGGGACTCAGGCAACACAGCCAGTGGATAGGGACAGCTTCTGAGTGACACATCACAGAGCGTATTGATTTGGGAGCATGTGGAATGTTCAGCAACGTGCCACCACCAACACAGAATTATTATAGAGAGAGATGCCATGTCTCCAAGAAGATCTAGTCCCACTTTTGAACTGACCAATTAAGAACAAGAAAAATGCAAAGCTTTATGCAACAAACAGAACACACATTTAAAAGAGAGGTCCGGGGAGGGGATTAACTACATAAAGCAACTATCTAAAGGATATGAGCGTCCATGAGTCACTGCTCACTTCTTCACCCATCTCAATCTACCTCTGAAACTGGAGGTTCTATTTGGATGCTGTTGCCCTGACAGAGCTAGCCATAGCTCTCATAAATCATATAAGAAAAATGTCCTCACCTGTACCAAAGCCACCCCACCACAAGTTCTGAAGCTATAGGGGAGGGGGAAAAATAGTTTTCTAACCCCCCCCCTTTGTTCCCCAGAGTGCTGTCACCTATTTGAGTTGGAAATTAGCTTGACTAGAGGCGGTGCGAGAGGAGCTAACTACTGAGATCTCCATCTATGCATAAGGGGACTATTCCCTCTGGGGTAGTCTCAGAAATAAATCAGGCTGGTGTTCAAATAAAAGTCTTTTTATGGGAAAATACTAGAAAGACAAATATACACTCAGAAAGACACACTGAAAACACTCTTGCAAGGTTAGCCTAGGGAAAAAAATACGGTGGAAAAGGTGGTGTAACCGATTAGGGAAGGAGATTCAGACCTGTGGAGGAGAGAGCAGCGACCTGCCCTCCAAGCAGCCCCCAGACATTACCAGGGCTGGTCAGTGTCCAGTGCAGCAGAGAGAAGCAAGCAGGCCAGCGAGCAAGCGCCACTTAAGAGGTGAGCTTGCATTTGTGGGGGTGTGGAGAAGATGCCTAAGAACCCAGTGCACCTTGGGTGTGTTCCCAGTGACTGATACAAATGTTTCAAAGTGTTCCTGAGAACCCACTGTTGTTCCTTTTATGTGAGAGAGACCTGTTTACATGTCAGCCTTTTTCGATCACTTCCAAATATGTTTCCCAGGCTAATTTCCTGGCAGGCATTGATTTTATGTGAATTGTTATCTGGAGTGATATTAAATACGGTGTATGGTCTATGCTAACACCTTCCCCACGACCCTCTGGATTATTGTATTAATCTCTGACATCTCTCTTTAGGCAGATATTTTCTACACTAAAAGACTCAAATGCTTAGCATCTCCCTTGCAGGGATGCTGCTCCAATTCTGGAGAAAACTCTCTCCCAGCATCCCAAGAGTGTTCACCTTGTGGCGGATCCAACCTGCTTTGGCATGCAGACCCTGTTCCACCCTACCCTCCAAGGTTTTTGCAACACCTGCAGAGGCTTTTCTCTCTCTCCAGTAACCTGCCGCCACCACCTGAAAATGCATTTCTTCACACCCCCAATTGCCACAACACCCCTGCAAGGTAGGTTACCTAATGACAGGCTCAAGAGCATCTGGCCAGCTTTACAGCTAAGCAAGGATTTAAACTGCCCTCTATTATCCCTGTAGGTACAATAGTAATCCCCCACCTCTCCAACCAACTGCACTAACCTTGACCTCTTCTTTCTGGGATATGACGAAAGAGAAGTTGGGCTAAACCCCATCCTCCACTCCCATAACTCCATTCAGCTCTGCCCAGCTGGACACCCTCCGAAGAAGTCCCAGTTTGTAACAGTCAATGCATATCAGAAACCATGAGTCAGTTTACAGGTCTCCCTGTTACACCTGCATCCAATGTCCTCATGGAGGAGAGCAGGATGGGATACGCAGCTCTCCCTCCAACCCCAGTTTGGTGTAGTGGTTAAGTGTGCGGACTCTAATCTGGGAGAACCGGGTTTGATTCCCCACTCCTCCACTTGCACCTGGCTGGATGACCTTGGGCAAGCAGAAGTTCTGATAAGAGCTGTTCTTGAAAAAGAGCAGTTTCTGTCAGAGCTCTCTCAGCCCCACCTACCTCACAGGGTGCCTGTTGAGGGGAGGGGAAGGGAAAGGAGTTTGTAAGCCGCTCTGAGACACCTTTGGGTAGTGAAGGGCAGGGTATAAATCCAATCTCTTCTTCTTCCTCAGGACAAGCTTCTGAAGAAAGTTCCTTCACTGTTCTCCTGGCCGCATCTGCGTTCTGCACTGCCCCCCCCCCGAGGAGATCAGGCTGGGGGGGCGGGGGATGTCTCTGTCTCCTAATAATTGTGTTCGTTTTTCCTTTCCTCACAGTATCTCTGTGAGGCACAGCACTGGCACATCTCGCAAAGGTGCCCAACCTTGTGAAGCCTGTGGGCACTTCCGTCATTCCTTGTTTTATCCAGCTTTTCTCCACATAATGTGAAGAAGACTGAAAAGAAAACTGCTGTGAAATACTTTCTTTGTCACAATGAGTAAAATGCTGGTTGGGGCTAGGTTTCCCCCCATTCAAATTGTACTGCATGGAAATGCCTGATGACTCTGTTTTCTAATGGGAAAACTGGGCAATCAGGGGTAGCGCTGTGGAAATATTTTCTTTCTCAGTGACCAGAACCTTGTCTTACAAAATATTTCACTCCAAAGCTACAACACAGAGAAAGTCTGAAAACTGTTGCAGGTTCCTCAAGGGGGGGAAATGGCAAATTTGGGGGTGCATGGGGGGGGGGCAAAAACCTCCCACACTAGGCACACACACACACACACACACTTCTCTAGATTTGTCATTAAAATGTAAATGATTTTGGCAACAGTGTGCTATAACAGGGTTGACAATAAGACATTATGAAAGTGCTCAGTGACTTCAGTGTTTTAAAATTAATCCAAATATGGTAGCAGTCCTGCTTCCTGTGACTCTATGAGAGGGTTTCTGTTCAAATAAAATGCTTTTTTGTTTATTCTCTGCATTCACCTTCCCGCCTGCCTCTCTTAGAAGAAAAAAGTTCAAAAATACATGAGCTGTGGTAACAATAGGGTACAATAGCTTGCAACTCTTTCTTACAAGGCAACACAGATACTCGTACCTTTACATTCCCCAAATATACCAAATTGTACAATGAAATGAAAAATTATGAATTTTTTTACACCTGTAGCCCAACTCCCCCCCCCGCGCCATTCTAGCACCTTCCAAGAGGGTTCCTGGCCACGCGCAGAGTACTTCAGAGAAGGGTGCCTGCTGTTAGCCAAAGGCGCCCCACCCTCTTCTCTCCCCGCCCCTTCTGAAGCTCAGGCAGAGTCCATGAGGACTGCAGAAAAAAGCGGAAGGGCTCCGGCTGAGGAAACTGCTTGTCCCGCTGCGTGCGTGTGTGCGCAATCGCGCCATTTCTGGCAAGCGCGGGCAGAGGCGCCTTCGTGACAGCCTTGCAGTGCAGGCCCCCCATGCCGCTCGCCCTCTGCAGAAAGGGGCTGAGGGAGACTTGGCTCGGCCGAAGAAGGGAAAGGACTCACCAGCGGGCCGCGACAGCTCCTCTCCCTCAGCCGGACCTCGGGAGGAGGAGAGAGGGCGGCGCAGCCCAGGCCGCGCGACACGACCCTCAGAGGGGCCAGCGAGGATGCCCCCCCCCGTCTGCCCTGCCTGCTCCTCTCCGGCCCCGAGGGGGACGGTGGGGCTCGGGAGGCGACAGCCGCTCTGCTCCGACGGGACGGAACGGGGGTGGGCGGAGGGGGGACCGCCCGGCTGCTGAGGAGGCCACGGAGGCGAGCCCGTCGCCCGGCCTCGTCCCGGGGTCCCCTCCTCTGCTCCCCACGCGCCTTGTCCTTCTGCCGCGGGAGGGCGACGCGCATCCGCCTCCGGCGCCGCAGCACCAGCTGCAGTTCCCGCACGTGGCGTGCCCCAACACCCGCGCTTAGAGGAGCATGCGCAGAAGCCTTCCCCCACAGGGGGCACTGGTTAAGTGTGCGGACTCTAATCTGGGAGAACCGGGTTTGAGTCCCCACTCCTCCACTTGCACCTGCTGATGTGACCTTGGATCAGTCACAAGCTCTGGCACAGCTGTCCTTGAAAAAGAGCAGTTTGTGTCAGAGTTCTCTCAGCCCCACCCACCTCACAGGGTGTATGTTGTGGGGAGGGGAAGGGAGAGGAGTTTGTAAACCGCTCTGAGACTCCAAGTGAAGAGCGGGGTATAAATCCAATCCCTTCTTCTTCTTCTTCTTGCCGCTTCTTGGCTGCTGGGTTAATTTGTATTTTATTGAATTCCTTTCTCCCCAGTGGGGACCTAAAAGCGGATTGCCTTGTTCTCCTCTACTTT